TGTTGTTTGTACAGCGTCCACAGACCTGTAGAAACACACAACGTGTGCGGGGGGGGGGGGGTGGGATATGTTGCTACATACCGTACCAGAATAGGTAGCCGAAGGTGGTTCCGAGGCCTGATTGGAAGGGGAGATGAGTTAGTCTATTCGTTTTGGAGATTGTTGATTGGGACTGAGGGACTCGGAGATGTATTTTGTCTTTGTATATAACCGGGGACGAAATGGCAACGGCTTATATATAATGTCCCTTCCTAGGACCCCACTCCGATTCCCGCTCCAGGACATCTACAGAATAGCCACCGTCGCGAACAACGAAACGAACGAGCGAATCGGGATCAAGACTCACCAAAGGCAGTGCTGAGATCCAGCACGAGGCCCCGACGGAGCATCTTTACATACACTAATTAGCATGATTGGTTTCAATTGAGAGTGAAGAGAGTCGACCGGTGCGGGCGAATTGAACGGGGAAACTTGGGCAAGAAACTTACACCCGTGATGGGTTGGATGGCGGACATTGCTCCGGGATTGGGCGGGATGCGAGGGAGTAAATGTACAGGCCTAGCAGGCTAACGTGGGATGCAGCTGGTGTGCGATACACGGGGGATTGGAGTAGATGTTGTGGTGGTTGTTGTCGATAGCAGGAATATGGGCAAGTGGACTGATGTTGGATTGCTGTGAGAGGGCTCGGATTAACTCGGGAGCCGGGATCACGTGGGAAAACGGCAGCGCGGTGTTGGATATCGAGAAAAGCTAGTGGAAAAGGGAATTAATGTATGGATTTCTCATTGGAAGGGGGAGATGTGAGTAGCAGAGAAAGTATCACCTACTCAGACATACAAATACATCTATAGTTATGAATTCAATTGCCATCTTCATCCTCATTCGAATCCACAACGGCCAGCTCCCTCCACGTGACCTTCTCTCCTGCGCATTCTTTGCGCTCCAACACATTATTGCATAGATTGATAGAGTCAACAGCAATCACGATACAATACACGGTCCTATTATGCATTCTGTTAGCCGGTGACAGAGCAGCAGATCTGATGTCAACGTGTATATGATCTATGATTCTCTCTTCCGGCTCACTGCCCAACAGTACGCCGCCTAGTTCCTAACTCCAAACTCTCATCCTACAGTCGCCAGCTTACACCCTCACAATGGCCATCCCCCCTGCTACAGCGGCCTCTGCCTCTTCGCTACAAAAACGGCAGCGTCGTGAATACCATCACCGCCTCCAAACACCTATGACACCAGACCTGCCTGATTCTGCCTTCACAGACACCACCGCCGTGGATACATTACTCAAGCTCTCCATTGGTGTGCTCGTCCACGACTGCGGCTTCACTCATGCGGACCCAGTTGCGCTGGATAGTTTTAGGAGTGCGGTTGAGGAGTGTATGTATTTTACATTTATACTTTATATTTACATGCTTCCTTCAGTAACTTAAGGTTGCATCTATATTTGCTGACGATTGTAGACATCCTGCATATCCTCTCTTACACCCGCCAATCCATGTCCTCCTGTCGCCGCATGCAGCCCATCCCCCTCGATTTCGAACATGCTTTCCGAAATACCAATATCCATCTCGACTCTCTGCACAAATACCTAACACCGCCGTCCCCACAACGGGAACAACAAATAATACCACCCCTCCCCACCCCACCCCCCTCCGCCCCCAACCCAGCCACAGACCTCCCCTTCCTCGGCCCAGATCTCAGCGGCACCCAACACCGCCAGCTGAGTACACATATCCCCAAACACTTCCCCAATTTCCCCAGCAAGCACACCTACCAGGAGACGCCGGTGTTTACGACGCGAGAGACAGATCCGAGGAAGATTCGTGAGAAGGCCACAGAGGAGGGCCGCTTGGGGGAGGAGGCGTTGAGGAAGCTGGCGAGGGCTGGGAGGGAGGGATTGCTATTTCGAGATGGGGCGGATGGGAGTGGGGATGGGGATAGCGGGAAGAAGTTGTGGGGGAGCCGGTTGGAGAGTATGGAGAGTATGTTCGAGAAGGCGGTTAAGGGGGTTGTTGGTGGAGGCGGGGCGGGAGGGTTAGGGACTGATGCTGAGTTCTCGTTGTCGTCACCGTTGAAAGTTCCTGAGAATGGGACGCTAGAGTTGAGTCCGATTGTGAATTGCGACAGAGTTTATTGGCGGAAGCAGACGAGGGCGGATGTGCGCAAGGTTGATAAGCGGACGATGCATAATAGTAATAATAAAGGGGCTAGGGGCGCGTTGGTTTAGCAGAGGGATTAGGTGGATTCGTTCTTTTGTTCGCTTTTCGTTTTCTTCCATCTCTAGGTTATCGATGCCAGGAGTTTCGGTTTGGGGGGTTTGGGTTGGGATTTAACATTGGGAATGGCATAGAAATGGCCATTTGCGTGTCTTACAAGGACGATACGGCACATGCATCGTTCATGAATATTTATTATACCATCCGAGTTTATTCGTAATTCGTGGCGTTATTTGTTCTTCTTGTGCTTCTCGCAAACATTTACACGGTCATTGCTTTCCCTCCTCTTTCTTTCCCTTCCCCTTCCTCTCCCACGTTGTAGTCTCAACCGTAAGCCCTCCCGCACATCTGTCACGACCGAAGTCAGCTGGAAATCCTCGTACATAAATAAATATACGAATTATACGAATACGCATATAGTGCCATACGATACGCACCGCCTAAACAACCGAACCACACTCTCGCACTCTATGACACCGCCGCCTGCAGCTCCTTGTGGCGGCCCCTTCTCCGGTGGGTTACAGGAGTACTGCACCATCTCCATCAGAGCGCATTCGGAGAGGTTCACACCGGGCGGCTTTCGGGCGGTTTCCTGGAAGTTTTTTGTGGTTGTTTGGACTGCGGTGGGGAGGGCGGAGGTCGGGAAGGAATGCGTTAGGGGAGACATTGTGGATTAGATTGGAGTAGATGGATACGTTTGACGGGTGGGAGAGAATAGGAGCGATTGATTGATTGGCATGAGAGTGTAATTAGGGGGTAAGGTGTGTTGCTGGAAGATGAAGCATTAATACTAATAGCAATGAGAAAGGCGTAGGATTATATTTTGCGGAGTTCGGAGAAACTAATTTGGACAACTATTAATATATTTAAATATTGCGTTAACTATTTAAATAACCAATTCCACGAACCAACCCACCCTACCGAGGTTGCAACACCACACACTCACGAGTCACCAGGGCATTGCTGGCGCGTGCATCGCATGGGGGATTACAAGTGAACTGGATACTTGGTGGAGGGGAGGCATGCATGCTGGTGTCTGAACGATGACGAGCGCGAGCACGAATGTAGTCGCTGGTCCTGAACAAGCTCGAGCTCATGGGGAGCGGCTGCTGAGGGAGGTGAGGGAGGAGAATCTGGCGGAGGTATTCTACAACAATATATATATGGAGATATGATATACTATTTATACTAATATGATATATTCAAGCTCCTCCACACCCTCCACCACCTGCACTCCCCACCGCCAACATCTCCCCACTACACACCACTGGGCATAAAACCCCTCGATGACATCCTCCGCAGTTTCCACCCCAAACCATATACATCTGGAGCAACATATACACCCCGCCAGCCCGTCCTCGAAATCACCTCCCCGGCCTCCGCAGACGGCAAAACTCATTTACTGTACTACATCACCGCCCTCGCCGTTCTACCATGTACCTACCAGAACATCGCGCTACGGGGACGTAGTAGTGCTGTCGTATTTCTCGACACAGATTGTCGGTTTGATGCTGCAAGATTGCGCGAAGTTGCGAGGGGGATTGTACTAGAGAGTGCGGTGGAGCAGGGGATATCGTTTCCCGGAGCTGGACACAATTACGGAGGTGGAGGAAAAGAAGGTGACGATGAAGGGATGAATACAATGCTCCACACCGCCCTCTCTCATGTCCATGTCTTTCGCCCACAGTCCTCTGCGTCTCTCTTGGCTACGATACAGAGTATAGAAAGCTATCTTCTGCGTGGCATGGGCACGATATATACAGAGGGGGAGCATAAACATGCATCACATTCCCGCCCGCTCCACGCCATCCTGCTCGATAGCGCAAGCGCGTTTTACTGGCAGGATAGACGTGAGATGGAGGTCCTTAACATCCATGGCGTTCGCGAGGAGAGGGCACGGCGGGCCCGGGACCAGAATGAGAATCAGAACCACAATGATACGGATACAAACTCAACTACACATACACCCACGGCCCAATCCCAGCTCCCACATCAGATCATCCATGCACTCCGCGCCCTGCAACAAACCTTCTCCTGTCCGCTCGTTTTCACGACGTGGGGGTTACTGCGAGCTACCCAGTCCACTCACCACAGCAACAATACGTCTCATGCCCTCCATGCGCAGACCACTACACGTACCCCGCTCTATAAATCTCACCGCCCATCCTTCCGTCCGCACCTGCCCAGGCCATGGCCCTCGTTCCCGACGTGTAGAGTCGTTGTGCAGCGCGAAGTTGTCCGGCCGTTTGCCCCGTTTTTAACGATGGAGGAGATCAAGGGAGAGGCGCGAGAGAGGCAAGATGCTGTGAGGAGAGGGGGAGTGGTGGGGTGGGTGGATGGGCATGGGTTGACTTGGGACAGGGAGAGAAACGCAATGGCGGAGAGGTTGTTTGGTTTTTCACATACGGGAGGGGGAGGCGTTAGGTGGATTGATGAGGATGGAGATGGGGAGGGATAGAACGAGGTGTACTAAATAACCGGTTATGTTATGTATATATGAACTATGAACTATATGGCTATTAAAAGGCCCTCTACGTCTATACTGTCTCTGTGCATATACTACTAGTAGTATGTACACAACATCTACATCTCACTCCTCCTTATCCCCGCCCATAAACAACTCCCCAATCCTCTCCACAGTCGTATTACCCCCTGAAAACACAACTCCAACATCCCACCCCTCCTTCCCCTCCCGCGCACACTCCTCAACCACCATCCTCCGAAAGCCTTCATCAAACAAACAAACCGCCAACCCCACCACCGCCGACGGCTCCACAACAACCTTCACCCTCTCCAGCACAAGCCGCATCGCAGCCAGAATCTGCCCCTCACTCACCGCATACACACCCCTCACCTTCTCCTTGTCAGAGACAACACTCCACCCCACCTCCCCCACCGGCGTCCGCAGCCCATCCGCAATCGTCAGCGTCTTCACGCTCGTAACTCGCTCCCCCGCCGCCAGCCCGCGCCGGCAGTCGTCGCCACCCTGGAACGACGGCTCCGCCCCAAACACGAGCGTCTTGGGCGTCCGCGTCGAGTAATACGTCGCCACGCCGGAGGTCAAGCCCGCGCCGCCGAGGGGCGTGATCACCGCGTCGAGCACGCCGGGCCTGCCCCTCCCGCCTTCTCCTCCTCCTCCTCCTCCTCCTCCTCCTCTCTCTTTAGGATGCACACTCAACCCCGCATCCGTGTCTACGAGCTCCCGCACCTGCTTCTCCAGCTCGACGGCGACCGTGCCCTGGCCCAAGACGACGTCGGCGTGGTCGTAGGGCGGGATGAGGATGGCGCCCGTCTCGGCGATGACGGTGGCGACGACGGCTTCGCGCTCCTGGCTGGTGGAGCCGGAGAATATCACTTTGGCGCCGTGGGAGCGCGTGCCGGCGATTTTGGACGGGGTGGAGATCGAGGGCATGACGATGTAGGCGGGGATGGAGAGGGTGGAGGCCGCGAGGGCGAGGGCTTGCGCGTGGTTTCCTGAGTGGATACAATTGGGTTTAGTTTGGGGGGGGGGGGGGGGGAGGGAGGGAGGTTTTTGGTCTGGGAGATAGAGACACAGACATACCAGAACTATGCGTAACAACCCCCCGCCGCCTCACCTCCTCCTCCCCCATTACTTGCACAGCCCGCAACAGCGCATGGAACGCGCCCCGCGCCTTAAACGCGCCTATCCGCTGCAGATTCTCGCATTTGAAGAAGAAGTTTATCTTCGGCTGCGCGGGCGGCTGGCCCTCGAACGGCGTGCCGACGAGCGCTTCGGCCGCTTGCGGCGTGGAGGCGATGCGGTTGAGGGTCTTGCTGGTTAGGATTGGGGTTTCGTGGATGTAGGGCTTGACCAGGTCGTGGGCGGCGAGGACGTTGGAGGTGGTGAGCGGGAGCCAGTGGGTTGGGTCGGTCATGTTGATGTTTTTGGTTGTTGGTGTTTTTTGTACGGGGTATTTTCTTGCGGTTCAACAGTGGGGCGGGGGGATTATTTTCTGGGGTTGGATTGCGGTGGTGATGTAATAGAGTTGGAGAATTAACGGAATTGAAGGCAAGGTGAAGCTGGTATTTATATCCACATATTCCGTATACATATACAGATCAGTTAAGGGATTGATATCATCGGGAATACGAGAAGGGCGCAAACATTATTCGGAGAATGTAACATGGCAGAAAATATCTTGACGTCGTTAGCTATACTAAGCAACACTGGCAGCGCCGGTGTGGGCCATTTATTTCCACAGCCGAGGCTTTGCACACCCACCCGCGTCACCGTCACCGGGCGTAGAAAGGGAAAAACAACACGAGCGATGGCAGAGGAAATGGCGCAAAACAAGAAGGACGGGACACCGAAAAGTGAAAAAGGGAAACTGGAAACACGGGGAATAACGGGGTAGAAAATGGAAGGATTAAGTTTTAATAAGTGCATGCGGCGTCAGGGAAAAAAACATTGGAAGCTTCTCTTTTTTACCCAGTCACTTTTTATCGCAAAGATCAAAACACAAAAATGTAGTCCTGGGGATTAGATAGAAATACACATTTTTTTTGGTTCTTGCCCAGAGGGGGAAAAAAAAGAAAGAAAAAGAAAAAAAGAAAAAAAACAGACACCCTCTATCCATAAGATCTCTTACAACACTCGTTTTTCTCGTTGTTTATTTCTGGTTCTCAGGTCGGAGGGATCTACAGATGGATTAGTTAGCTCCATGTAGTTGGGCGTGGAAAAGGAAAATAAAAAAATAAAAAAAAATAAAAAATTGAAGTAAACCAGAAACACTCACCGGACGGCCTTTCCAGCTCGCCAGATCTCAAGATCCCGAATCTCCTGCATCTCCTTCTCGTACTTCTCCCGATAGTCCGGTTGCGAGTTGTACTCCAAGCTGCGCTGTGTCTCCCGGCCATCCTTAACGCTGTCATACAGCTCATTGAACACGGGCTTGAGGGTGTCCTTGAACTTGCTGCTCCAGTCAATGGCGCCCCGGCGGGCAGTGGTTGAGCACGCGGCATACATCCAGTCCATGCCATTAGCGCCAATGAGTGGGTACAAGCTCTGCGTGGCCTCTTCGACGGTCTCGTTGAAGGCTTCGCTGGGGCTGTGGCCGCGCTCGCGCAGGACCTCGTACTGGGCGAGGAACATGCCGTGGATGCCGCCCATCAGGCAGCCG